TGGGACTATGTGTGTTGTATGTCAAAGCACAGATGGTGATCCATTAAATCCAATTGTGTTTTGTGATGGTTGTGATTTGATGGTTCATGCTTCTTGTCATGGGAATCCTCTTGTTAAAGCTATACCAGAAGGTGATTGGTTTTGCGAACTCTGTATCGGATCGAAGAAGAACCGAGAGAAGAAGCTCTTCTCTTGCTGTTTGTGTACAACCAAAAGTGGAGCGATGAAGCCGACGAAAGATGGATTACAAGGAGGAAACTCATTAGAAAGGAGGAAACTCATTAGAAATCTCATCGCTTTCTCTGTATTCTTTGAGGTCAGCTCTGAACAAACCTTGTTTTGGTTATGTTAGTAGGAAAAGTTAAGATTTGAATGAAGTTGATGTTTTTAGTTTTTCTCTTTCTATGCTTTCAGATAATTGCAGTGGTTTATGCAATTATGACAATAAGAAATGAGGATTTGGATTGGAAACTAAGGAGTTTCAGGATCTTGCCAATGTTTCTTTTACCTGCTCTTGCTTCTCTTGCCTATTCTTCAATCGTTAGCTTCTCGAGGATGTGTGAGTCTTTGTGTTTTCTTTCTTGTATATGCTCATTTTCATGTCGAATCTTGTGGCTTGGTGTCTTCTTAATCATGTCTTTGTGTGTAAATTTTGTTTGGTTTAGGTGACCGCAGAGATCAAAACACCTTGGAAAAGCTTCAAGCAGAATTGCTGGGAAAGATCAATGAGTTAAAAGAAAGGACCAATTATTATTCTGGTATTCCTGATTNTCTCCACATGTTCCATTTTCATGTTTTGATTTGTGCTGCTGTTATTTTCATGCTCCTGCGTAACTTTACCTATTGCATTAGGAGATATTTTTAAATTCAAACTTACCAAAGAGCATGGTGTTGGNAATTTGGATTGGAATTCCGTGAGGACATTTCCGCCTTTAGTCAAGGATCATCCTTGTTGAGAGTCTCTCTTTTCTATTTCCGTTTATGATTTCGAAATCTATGTTTTAAATGTTTTTGTTTCATGTATGTTTGAAATTTCATATTTTATTGAATGTACTATGTTATCAATTTAAAAAAAAAATAAACTTTACTTTAAAAAAAACACAGTTTCATAATTTTCTTTTTTTTAGAACCCCTATATATTTACTACCTATAATCACAAAAAACAACAACAAAATAAGTTGGGGTTCTAATGTTAATCCCAATACAATTAATACTATAAAATTCATATATTACTCTAATATATTTACTAACTATCGGACCTTTCAACAAACTAAGAGAGTGTTATTTGTTAAACAGATAAATAAATTAAAACAAAAAATTCAATTCAATCCATATCTTTGTTAAACCTCCATATCTTTGCAAGACAAGTACAAATAGTGTTGCCACCTCTACAAAATTTTTGAGTCCGATTCTTTCTCTCTAGAAAAAGACCGAGAAAAATGTATAGTGGATTGGTCGGGAAATTTTTTTTTTTAAAAACCATCGAACCAATTGGGAACATGTACACGGCAATTAAACAGTAGAGGACTAGTTCTAAATTTTTTCGCAATTGTTTTTGTCGACGACTAACAAAATGAAAATTCGT